GATGATCATGTTCTTCCTCGTATCCCTTCTAAACCTCCTGCCTTTCACTTTAAAATTCTTAAACTTACTTATCATTACCTCACATTTCTCATCCCCCACATTTATGAATGTCACAAACAATAAGGGATCCAGCACTGATCCCTGTTGAACACCAGCTCCAGACACAAACAGTCTTCTACCATCACCCTCTGCCTCCTGTCACTAAGTCAATTTTGGAATCAAATTGCCAAGTTACCTTGGATCCCATGAGCTTTTCCCTTCTTTGTCAGTTTCCCATGTGGAGCCTTGTTAAAACTTCTTCCAAAATCCCTCAACTGCCCTATCCTCATCCAAACAATCAGTCACTTCAAAAAATTCCAACAGATTTGTTAGGCATGTTCTCCCTCTGACAAACCATGCTGACTATCTCTGATCAAACCTTGCCTTTCTAAACGGAGATTAATTTTTTCCTTCACTATTTTCCCTACCACTGATATTAGACTCAGTCTGTAAATCCCTAGTCTATCTCTACCACCCTTCTTCTAAAGTGGAACTACATTAGCTGTCCTCCAGTTCTCTAGCACCTCCCCTGTGGCTAGAGATAATTTAAAAATTTGGATCAGGATGCCTGTAATTTCCTCCCTTGTCTCCCACAACAGCCTGAGATGCAGCTCATCCAGACCTCAGGATTTGTCCACTTTTAAATCCACCAAAACCTCCATTACCTCCTCACTCCCTATACCAATCTACTCAAGAATCTCAGTGCCTCTTCTCCAATTGTGTACGTGCAGCCTCCTCCTCCTCCCAAGTAAACACAAGTGTGAAGTACTTATTTAACACTCTACCAATATCCTCCAGCTGCAAAATTAGATTGCTCCCTTCGTCCCAAATAGGCCCTACTCTTTCTCTGGTTATTCTCTTTCCCTTGATATATTTGTAGAGTATCTTGGGATTCTCCCTAACCTTGCCCACCAGTATTTTTTCATGCCCCCTCTTTAGGGCTTCAGTTGTTTTGCTCCCTTTATACCTGTTATATGTCTATCTTTTTGTTTTTATTCCTCGACATCCAGGTTTCTCTGGGCTTGTTGCTCCTACATTTTATCCAAAAGGGTTCACGTTGGGCCTCTACTCTCCCCTGTACCTTTCTGAATACCTCCCACTGTTCTGCTGTAGATTTATCCTCAAATAGCTGTTGCCAGTCTATTTGGGCCAGATCCTGCCTCATTTTAATAAAATCTGCACTACCCCAATCCAAAACCTTTTTTTTTTTTGCAGACTTTCTTTCGCCTTTCCCATAACAGACTTAAAATGTAAGGTGTTGTGGTTGCGATCACTTAAAGTACTCCTTCACGGTTATCTCAAATATCTGTCCAGCTTCATTCCCCAGGATTAGATCTAGCACTGCGCTGTCTTTTGTAGGACCACCTGTATGTTGTTATAAAAAGTTCTCCTGTATACATTTCAAGAAAGTTGATGCCTCTAAAGTCTTTCTACTATGACTAATAGTTGAAATCCCCTAGTATAAGAGAGGGAGAGAGAGCTTCATCTGTGACTGCCTGACACACCCTGGCGGATTTGTTGGAGGACACAGAGTTAGAGGGAGGCCAGCCATCCACTGAGGCATAAGTTTCTCCTTTGTAAAGCAGTAGGATCAGAGAGCCATCTTAGATCAATGTCAGGAAACAAAGCCCCTTCATTCACTGCTGCAAGAAGTTTACTCACCTCACAACAGTGGCCAATGTCTGGGGGAAGTGTTTCCAACTGTAATATCTCACCCACCGCAGCCCTGGCTTCAGACACTGCTCGACATGCCACCACACCATCATTCATCTGACAACAATCTCAATGTGTCATGAATCTGCACAGCTTCACTCAGTCCCCAAACCACACCCCTATTTCTGACAGCTTGCTCGCTGTGCCAATTATTCACTCACCCAAACACATGGTATCACACTCACTGCCACACTCCTCTCTCCTCAATACAAGTTGACATGTAACTGAGGGTGGGCCAGTGTGCTGTCAGAACCATTATTGAGGACTGCCATGACCACTCCCTCTTGACTGTATACTCCTGTTCTGCTTCTTCTGTTCTTTTGTATTCTTCCTTTCCATGTTGTTAAACAGTGAGCAGAATAGCTATAAACTGCAGGAAGTTATCAATGGACTACTCAAGTAGACAGAGCAGTGGCAATTGAAATTCAATGAAGAAACCTGAGATAATGAACTTGAGTGAGATTATGAACTTGAGGGTGGCTAACAAGGGATTCATATTATGAATGGTGGACGCTGGAAAGTACTAAAGATCAGAGGGACCTTGATATATGCATCTACATATTCCTTAAGGTATCAGGACAAGTGGATAAATTAGTTAAGAAGGCATTCGGGATACTTTCCTTTATTTGCTGAGGTGCAGAATACAAGAACAGGGAGGTTTTGCAGGAATTGTACGGATGTTAGTGAGAATACAGTTGGCACACTGTGTATTTCTGGTTATCTCATTATAGGAAGGATGTGATAGCACTAGAAAGGATGAAGAGGAGATTCACCAGGATACTGCCTGAGAGTCTGAGCTATGAGGAAAGAATAGATAAGCTGGGGTTGTTTTCCTCAGAACAGTGAAGGTTGAGATGGGGACCAGTTGGAGGTGCATAGATTCAGGGGTATAATAGAATAGATAGGAAGTAGTTTTTTTTCCACTTGTAGGGGGGTCAATAATCAGGAGTTAAGGTAAGATATAGAAGATTAAGAGGAGAGTTGAGAATTTTTTTTCAATGGAGTGGTAGGAGTCTGGAACTCTCTGCCAGAAAGAGTGACAGAGATGGAAGCTCTAGTAACATTTAAGTAGTACTTAGCTAATCACTTGCAATGCAATATCTTCGAGAGTTACGGGCCAAAAGCTGGAAAATGGAATTAGTGTAGTCAGACTTTAATGACTGGTATGGACACAATGGCTGAATGGCCACCCCCGTGCTGTAAATGTCCTTCAGTCTAAAATTGACAGCAACTAAACATTACCTAGTTGATAAATCGTACACTAAGCTACAGAATAAACATTCCCCATTAACTACTTATCACAACCTAAGACACCACAACACATTTAGAAGTTAAACTACATTCTTACATTAAATACTGACTATATCTTTGCTATCTAGCTCTTCATGATGTTAACAGGATCTTCGCTCCCTGCCTTACCAATGTGAATCTTCCCAAGTCCTTTTTGAAACCAAGTCCCACCACCCAATCTCTTGAGTGTAAATGAATGGGCTTTAAGTAGCAAGGCAGCCTCTGAAATCTCCTGGGTTTTAACTGTACAGAAAGCTCTTCCTTCAAACATGGGATTGTTCCCGGAGAACTGGTGAGTAGCTAATGTTGTTCCTCTGTTCAAGAAGGGAAATAGGGATAATCCAGGAAATTATAGACCATTGAATCTCTCCTCAGTGGTTGGGAAGCTGTTGGGGAGAAATCTTAGGGATAGGATTTACGCGCATTTGGAAAAGCATGGCCTAATTAGGGAAAGATAGCATGGCTTTTGTGTAGGGTGGATCATGTCTTACTAACTTGATTTTTTTGAGGAGGTGATCAGGTTAGAACAGTGGATGTTGCTGACTTGGATTTTGGTAAGGTCCCTCATGGTAGGCTCATTGAGAAGATGGAAATGTGTGGAATCCACAGTGACATGGCAATTTGGATTCAGAATTGGCTTGCCATAGGAGTCAGAGGATAGTGGTGGAAGGGTGTTTTTCTGGGTGGAGGACTGTGACCAGTGTGTACTGGGCCCTCTACTGTTTGTGATTTAAATGACTTGGATCAAAATGTAAAAAGATGGGTTAGTAAGTTTGCAGATGACACAAAGATCAGTGGAGTTGTGGTTAGTGTAGAACGTTGTCAAAGGATACAATGGGATATAGATCAATGGCAAAGAAATGGCAGATAGAGCTTAATCCAGGCAACTGTGAGGTGTTGCACTTTGGGAGATCGAATGTTAAGGGAAAGTGTATACTTTGTATAGTTAAAGTGTATAGTTAATGGCATGACTCTTAACAGCATTGATGAACAGAGGAATCTTGGAGCCCTAGTCCATAGCTCACTGAATGTGTCCACACAAGTAGATAGGGTGGCAAAGAAGGCATATGGCATGCTTGCCTTTATAGAACAGGCATTGAGTACAAGAGTTAAGAAGTGATGTTGCAGCTTTATAAAAGCTCGGTTAGGCTGCACTTAAAGTATTGTGTTCAATTCTGGTCACCATACTACAGGAAGGATGTGAAGGCTATGGAGAGCGTGCAGAAGAGGTTTACCAAGATGCTGTCTGGATTAGAGGGTATGAGCTTTAAGGAGAGGCTGGACAAACTAGGGTTGTTCTCTCTGGAGTGGTGAGGCTGAAGGGAAACCTGGTAGAAGTTTATAAAATTTTGAAAGGCATCAACAGGGTTGACAGTCTTTTTCCCAGAGTTGAATGAATACTGGAGGGCATGCATTTAAGGTGAGAGGAGGAAAGTTCAAAGGAGATGTGAGGGACAAGTTTATTACATAGAGAGTGGTAGGTGCCTGGAACACGCTGCCAGGGGTGGTGGTGGAGGTAGATATGGTAAGAGACTTTAAGGTAAGCACATGAATAAGCAAGAAATGAGGGATATGAACCATGGGCAGGCAGAAAGGATTAGTTTCACTTGGCGTCAACATCATGGGCCAGAGGGCTTGTTTCTGTGCTGTTCTGTTATATGTTTTATGTTCTGCACCAGCATTCTACTTGATGATTAATCCAAAAATAGTTCTTTATTTCTGCTGGGGCACCTTCGTCCCCAAATCCCTGTGAATGACTGCTACTGTGTCTGGGTGTTAAGGCCTTCACCAAACTTCCAAAACATTTTCATGTGAACCACTGTACACGTGGCAACCAGGTCACACAGTAATGCCTCAGGCAGATTCTGTAGGAAGTCACATTACCCTCTCCAAATTATCCTGTCTTACCTCAAAGAATACAGTTTAAAACATAACCATCTGATGAAGTCCAAAGTTCATAACAGCAGCATTAATTGTCGGAGGAGGGAGTGAAAGGTGAACTCCCTGTGCGTAACAAAACCAGGGTGTACAAGTTGAGAACTTTAGACATGCTGTTGGGCCCTTTAAACTGCACGCATTCCCTCCTCAGGAATCCCTGAAAAGTTACTAATGGATCTATCCCCTGATGAGGACCAACAGTGGTATGGATAATTAGGGACGGACAAGTTCCTCCAACATCAGATTTAGCCAGGAATGGGGAAGTCTTTTTGTTGCTCCTGAGCTCCCTTCCTAATTTCAGTCACTCCAAATCTAGTAGTGCTAATAGTGATGGTGCTGCCATGACATGAGAGTTCACATGGGCTCACAAAGCACAGATGATATCAAAGTATCTTGCATTTTGTCTGGAAGGTCTTCACAAAGATGGCTTTGATAATTGGTAAGCATTTTGCCAGCGCAGTTACGGTAATTGAAAGGTGTGTTAGCAGGCGCCTCTCTCCTGGGTCACAGTCCCCTTTATGACCTGTTCCTGTGCTTTGATGTCACAATGTATCTGCCCAGGATCCTGAGCCATTCTGCTATGAATCTCAGCTTGGTGCCTGAGCTGCTCATGTTTGGGCATAGTTCTGAGTGGCAATCATGTGCGATGATTCAGACAAGATTCGGCGAGATAATTTGAAGCTGACAGCAGAGAACAAAGCATTAAAACGGCAGATTACCTTGCTCAAAGAAAATGAGGAGTTACGTAACATGCTATCCTCTAACTGTGCACCATTGCTTGGACAGAAACCAAACTGTTATTCAAATTTTAGTCATTCCAACACAGCTACAGCAACACGAGGTAACTCAATATTCGCTCTTTTTTGTGGGCCAATAACAACTTAGTATTAATGTGGTGCCATTAATGTTGCTCCCAAGCTGCTTCACGGAAGTGTTGTTAAACAGGCATCCAATATATCAAATCTGGGCTACATTTATCCCCTGAATGATAGACACAACAACAAAATAGTGACTATTTTAATATGAAGAGGTGCATAGCAATAAATTTATTTTGGTTTAATTTTGTTTTTCTTTGCCAATGGCTTTGTGAATTTGCTTTCCTTACATTCAATCAGCCAAGGACTTGTGCATTAATCCAAAAAGGTTCTGACTGCAGAGATAAATCAACCTCAGTGGTTTTGTTAAGTATTAACAAATTACAAGTGAGCACTGTGTTCATGCACTTCCTCACAGTATATCAATTGGGCTGGCAAATCTCTAACGAATCTCAGCTCAGATTACTAAAGAATGACTGAAAGAACATATGCCTGGATGTACCATATCATTTGAGTTGATATGTACACATCAGCTCTGAGATGGTTGTCTTCTCCTGAGCTCTTATATATACAAGCACAATTTGTAGATTGCAATATACCACATACCCACTGCCATTCCATTGGTCTGTTCATACCATGTCAGTAGCTGAGATCGTTTTACGTGGTTCAAAATATCAAAACTTAACACAATGATGACTGCTGAATTATCAACACCTCGACTCCAAAATAATTATAATTCTTTCCCCAATAATTTTTGTTTTTATTTTGATTATCCCGAATAATCTTTCCCCAATCATTTGATACATTTTGCATTTCAATAAGCTGACAGCCTTCTGCTAGCCTAGAATTACCCTGTGAAGTTATCCTGACTCCAATACATTATATTAAATTAAATGATTTTAGTAAATTAGATTCTATCACACAAAAGATGTTCCTACAAGCTCAAGATGCTTATACATACATTTTGTCCCATTATACCATACCCTGACCTACGCTTGCTTGGTTAGAGTTTCCCAAAACCAATTATCTCCAGTACTGTACAAACACCATTGTGCCTATCCAGTTAATTACTGATAAATAGACATTGTCAATAGGAAAACTTGTACGGCCTTCAGAAAAACATAGGAGCAGGAGTAGGCCATTCACCCCTTAAGCCTGCACCTCTATTCTAGATCATGGCTGATCATCTACCTCAAGGCCATATTCCCTTACTATTCCATTATCCTTTGATGTCATACTAGAAATCTGTCAATCTCTGTCTCGAGCTTACTCAATGACTGAGTCTCTACAGATTGTGGGGTAGAGAATTCCAAAAATTCACCACCCTCTGAATGAAGAAATTTTCCTTCATCTCAGTCCTAAAGGGCTTGGAGGTTGTGTCCCTTAGTTCTAAAATCACCTAGCTAAGGTCCTTCTACTTCACTTAGAATCTCACTTTAAATACTTCACTGCCCATTTATATGGATATGGGCACATGGTCTTCTGGCCAAATAGAGCAGGACTTTGTAGAATTGTGCCTACAGTTGATAACAATTTTGTTGTACACTCACTCCTGGTATTGACCTGGTTTACAAAGTCAAAGAAACATTGGCACACTCCATAATGCTCCACCATCTCGCTCTAACAAACCCACATCAACTCCCAGTTACTCCAATAATCTGGTGGCATTCATTGCTCACTAGCAGCAGCCAGGAGCCTGCTGGCTGCAGTGGATAGAGGCATTAAGGAGCCATTGAAGCAGCTCCTGCCCCTGGCATCATGCAGTAACATATGCACTTGTGAGTCTCTTCATAAATCCAAGCTGATCCAAACAGAATCGGCCAAAAAATAACTCAAAGACAGGAGTTGATAATTCAGCCAATCAAAGCCCATGTCACTGATACATCGCTTTGGCCAGTCTAACATCCAACTGTATTGGGGCTCACTCTAATTGTTCCCTCATCTGTGCCCTTGTCAATCAATGTATAACACATTTGCTGGAATGACAGTGAAAATTGAACATAGTACTCATACAATCTGACAAAGCATCATCGTAACTTGTGCAACAGTACCCTCCAGCTTCATAAATGACATCAGTTCCTTTCTTGCTTCTTAGTATTAATTCAACATTGGAAATCTTGAACTTGCTGTCATTCAAAGCTTTTAATTGATTGTATATTTCTGTTGTATAGCTACACTGTGTTTCGACGTTATGTATTTATGTTATGTACAGTATATCTATTGTTACTATCCTTTTGGGGCCAATAACTGTGATTTCTCAGAGATCTGATGTCACAGCCAGAAATTCTGATTGACAATTCCTCCCTCTTCCCAGGAACCTGGAATTGTGCTTTCTTTTCTACTTCAGCTTGAAATCACAATCAGTACAGATAACAGCTGACAGTCTTGAATTTATTTCTCTCTCCCCCTCTAAAATATAATAACTTGTTCATAAGCATTGCATTTAATTAATTCTCTGTCCAACTGATTTAAACGCAGACATTCCATTTCAAACATGATAAATGCTCATGTAACACCTTCATAGAGCAGTTCTCATCTAGACATATGATACTTCTGAAAATCTGTACATCTATCTCCATGGCAATTTAACAAGCTCAGGTGTTTTCTGAATTCTTGTTGATGACATAATCTGCCTAATTCCTCCTTTTTCAATATGTTCATGGCTGGTCATCTGCCTCAGCTCCACTTTCCTGCCTGGTCCCCGTATCACTCAATTCTGTGAGAAATCAACAAGCTATCTATTTCTGCTTTAAAATATTCAATGGTGATGGATCCATAACCCTTTGGAGTAGAGAATTCCAAAGTTTCACTACCTTCTGTACCTTTTTTGCTCATCACAGTCCTAAATGATCATCCCCTCATCCTAAGGGGATACTTTGTGTTCTCAGCCGGGGGTAACAACTTCTCAGAGTCTACCATATTGATGCCCCTTGAGAATCTTAAATGTTGTCTGCCATTTGCCCCTCCACTCATCTGGATAAAATCTCTACAGTGCAGAAAGAGGCCATTTGGCCTATCAAGTATGCACCCACCCTCTGAAGATTATCCCATCCAGACCCCATCCCTGTAATCCCACATTTACTTTGGCTAATCCACCTAGTCTTCACATCCCTGGACACTACGGGACAACTTAGCATGGCCAATCCACCTAACATGCCCACCTTTGGACTTTGGGAAGAAACTGCAGCACCCAACAGAAACCCACATAGACACAGGGGAAACATGCAAACTCCACACAGACAGTCACTGAAAGCTGAAATCGCTGTGAGGTAGCAGTGCTAACCCCTATCCAATCACATGTGTAGTCATTGTCATTTGCCTCTACTTCCAGTTAATTATTTTGTGAAAATGTGGACCGTTTGAATGTGGAAATGTTGTTCTTAGTTCAGCTTCAACCAATGAATTGATGTTGTATTGAAGGAAGAGTATTCAACTCAGTACTAAATATTCCAAATGATGTCTTACCCATCCTTTGTTAAAATTAGATTAACTTCTTTCAATTGCTAGTCAAGAACTCTTCCGATGCATTTTTATTTGATCAGTTGAATTGGCTAGATAGAATTACAGGAAGTTTTGGAAAATTAAGCTGTACTTGATGTATGTGTACTCCAAGGTCATTCAATGCCTTCAGCTTCTCACCATATTTAATTCATGACTTGGATGAAGGATTAGTGGAGACAATTTGCAGAAGACAATAAATTAGGAGGCACAGTAAGGTGTCTAGACAGGAGCAGGATGTTACCGAGGGGTATTGACGGATTAGGTTAGTGAGTTAACGTAATTGAGAGTTCAATCCCAGGAATATTAAGGCCAAGGCTGGAATACAAAGAGGAAGAAGTTAGCAGTCAGTTGTCCAGAGCCTGAGCACTTCATTCAGTTCAGGGGAGTTGAGGCTATGATCAGATCATCCATGATCCTATTGAATGAAGTGGCCTACTTCTATTCCTGATTCATTTGTTCATATACTGTGTTGTACTTTGGTTCTGTCTTCACAAAATCGGACACAAATCACCGCCCAGAAATGTTGGGGAACCAAGGATCTAATAAGAGTGCAGGATTGAAAGAAATCAGTATCAGTAAGAAAATAGTGCTCAGGAAATTAATGATATTAAAGGCTGCCAAGTCACCAGGGCTAGAAATGGTCTTGGAAATATTGGATGTTTTGGTTGTCATCTTCCAAAGTTTTATAGACTGTGAACAGTTTCTACTGATTGGAGGTTGGCAAATGTAACCCCACTGTTTAAAACTTGACAGAGGGAATAAATAGAGAATTATAGACTACACGATGGATACCCGAAAAACTGGGTCAGAAGATGCCTATTACACAAATGACACCAGGAAGATACTACACGGCCCAACACACTCATCACGCAACCTTACATCAAGAACACATCTAAACTGACCATAAGACTCCTCCGACCACTGGGCATCAGAGTAGCACACAAACCCATATCAACCCTATGCCAACTGCTCACCCAAATCAAAGACCCACTACCCACTATGGACAGGACCAATGTCATATATAAGATTCCCTGCAAAGACTGCAACAAACATTACTTTGGACAAACAGAAAGAAAATTAACCACAAGAGTTCACGAACATCAACTGGCAACAAAAAGACACGACCAATACTCACTCATCTCCATCCACATGGATAAGGAAAGCCATCAATTTGATTAGGACAACACCAGGATCCTGGGACCGGTGAAGCATATACAAGCACGGGAATTCCTAGAGGCCTGGTTCTCCACTAAGAAAGCCATCAATAAACAGATAGAGCTAGACCCTATATACACTCCATTGCAAAGGAAAACCAGAAGTGAGGTAATCCAGCTGAACAGACACCAGAGTTTAAAATCAGGCGGGAAAACCCAATGGTGTTTCATCGGAGGCTGCATTGATGATGTTACCAAGCAGGATAATGAAACGTCTGCGGAACAACAAATCAGTTCGGCGAGCCAACCAACCACAATTATAGACTGGTTAATCTAACATCAGTAATGGGGAAATTGCTAGAGCCTATTAT